AAGTAAACTTATTATTTTAAATGATAACAATAATACGAAAGCGATGAATTGCAACATACCGCGCGACTACTCAGTGCGCGCTCTGAGGCCCTGCGGATGAGGCGCTGCGGCAAAATTGATAATTGAACCATTTAAAATCTGTTTTCCACTATAAATCAAACGGCGTTCTGTTCTTAAGACCCTAAAGTATTGTTTTAGCAAAGAAAAAAAAAATCGACTTTCTGAAAATCCTAGAGTGGTGTTACCCCTTAAGCAGTTCTATAATTTTATAATTACATACGTAGATAAAGATAGTAACCTAACTGCAGCGCAGCAAATGTTAACTAATTAATGGCATAACTTTTAGCTATACAACATTTATAGCAGTACAATCTACACTAGTCAAAAAAATTGAGGGAACAGAAAAATTCCTTAAATTTTTAGGTCATTTTCAAATTGCTCTGCCTCCGTTGAAATTCATTACAGAAGACATCCAGAATAGTCATTTCGAAGCTACAGGTCTCTAGTTTTTGACTCATTTTCTCAAAAATTTTTTGAGCCCATTATCATTAACAAAATATACAAAAAATCGCGATGAAAAAATTTTAGAATTTTTTTTCTTTTTTTTAAGATCTGTAAAGACATGGAAAAATTTTTTTGATTAATGCCACTTCTCCTTGCCACTGTTCCTTGTTCCTTCCCCTATAATTTGCACATCTATGAAGTTCGTTTCGACGATCGGTCGCAAAGTTATGAGCTACCAAAGCCAAAATGACGCTTTTTCCTTTGATAGTCATTATCTCATGAACCCACCATCGACCAGAAATTATAATACGGTTCCAGAAAGCGGAGAATGTGCCCTTTAAGATGGGTATATCAATTTTTTATTAAATGTTTTTTTTTGGTGCTTAATATTGATGCAAAAAAACGTCAAAAACGGTGTTTTTTCCTCAAATTACAAAAGTTACGGTATCTTTGTAAATAAGTATTGTAATGATTATGCCTAGGTTTTTTTTCTAAGCTCATATTGCCCACGAAATGTATGCGAAGTTTCAAATGATCTCTATGAACCGGTGGATCAAACTTTGAAATTTGAACGAAAAGAGTTAAGGAAACGTCATTACTACTCCTATCCGCAACTAATACGTTTGTTGGGTAAAAAAGTTTGTGTCTCTACATTTACCGGTATCATTGCTAAATTTTTAAAGAATGCTTTGGTCTGAGAAGGTCGAATTTACGCTTCCTCTTGTGTGTGTGAGTTCGTGTGTATGTGTGCCGTGTATATGCAGGTATATGAACGTGGGAACGCGCAGGTATATGCGTCTGCCGCAATGTCTGCGCGGGTGAGCGTAATTTTGTTTTTTCAATAAAATTCGAGGACTTGTACATTTAATATCGCGTATTACCACCACGGTTGTTAATTACATCTTGCAAACGTTCACGCATATTAATGCATTGCCGTATTATGGCTTGGGGAATTTGGTTCCAAATTCGAAGAAGCGCATTTTCCAGCGCACGTAAATTTCGTAAATACGGATAGTCCGTTCGGATAGCAAGCCGGTATATCAATGAAATTTTAAGTCCGCATGTCTTACCTATTCGTCAATACACTTGAAACCGATTTAGATTAGTCCAAGACAATACTCGATCACATACAGCGAACGTTGCAAAACGGTTTCTGTCGCAACGTCAAATTAGTACGCTACCACATCCAGCAATGAGCCCAGATCTAAATCCAATTGAACACGTTTGGGATATGATGGGGCGTTGATTGCCAACGGACTATCCGTATTTACGAAGTTTACGTGCGCTGGAAAATGCGCTTCTTCGAATTGTAATTTGAGGAAAAAACACCGTTTTTTGACGTTTTTTTACATCAATATTAAGCACAAAAAAAAAAATTTAATAAAAAATTGATAAACCCATCTTAAAGGGCACATTCTCCGCTTTCTGGAACCGTATTATAATTTCTGGTCGATGGTGGGTTCATGAGATAATGACTATCAAAGGAAAAAGCGTCATTTTGGCTTTGGTAGCTCATAACTTTGCGACCGATCGTCGAAACGAACTTCATAGATGTGCAAATTATAGGGGAAGGAACAAGGAACAGCAGTCGAGAAGTGGCATTAATCAAAAAAATTTTTCCATGTCTTTACAGATCTTAAAAAAAAGAAAAAAAATTCTAAAATTTTTTCATCGCGATTTTTTGTATATTTTGTTAATGATAATGGGCTCAAAAAATTTTTGAGAAAATGAGTCAAAAACTAGAGACCTGTAGCTTCGAAATGACTATTCTGGATGTCTTCTGTAATGAATTTCAACGGAGGCAGAGCAATTTGAAAATGACCTAAAAATTTAAGGAATTTTTCAGTTCCCTTAATTTTTTTGACTAATGTATTTATACTACACAAAGTAAAATTGTATACAGGGTGTCCGCGCCAAAGTGTTACACCTTAATATCTCATGAACTATTGATGTCACGAAAAAGTGCTTATATGGAAATTGCAGGGTAAAAGAGGCCCTATGTTTTGGCAGAAGCAAAATTTTTTTATTGTTATTA